GGGGGGGGGGGGGGGGGGGGGGGGGGGGGGGGGGGGGGGGTCTCGGGTGGAGCACGGCGCGGGGAGGGAGGGCGAGGAGCAGAGAGGAGACGCCGCTCCAAAACCGGAGGGGATCGGCCCGGACCCAGTGCCGTACCTGAGCATCGGGGAGAGCCAGAACCCCCCCGCCGCCGAGGGGGGGGCGGGGCAACTGTCCCGGGGGGGCGGAGCGATGGGGAGGACCTCCACCTGGCCCCCGACCGCCGCCCAGTGGCAGCTGAGATGGAAGAAAAAGGAGGAGGAGCAGGAGGAGGAGGGAGGTGTTGTTGTTTGGGTCCAAAACAAAAGGATGGAGGTCCCACATGAGGTGGAGGCGATTTCAAATAAGGTGGAGGGCCCCCCCCGCTCCGATCCGGGTGAGGAGGAGGAGGAGGATGGAGCTGAGGAGGAAGGAGGCTCAGCTCCCAGGAGCCCGAGGTGTCCTCAGATTCTCCCAGAGGAGCAGCAGCAGCAGGAGGAGGAGGAGGAAGAGGAAGAGGAGGCGCACACCCACAGGAAACCCACCCGGGAGGGGGGGCAGCGGAGCCGGGAGGGGGCCGGCAGAGGGCCACCCAGAGCCGGCCGAGGGGAGTCGAGAACCGGGGAGGAGCCCGGGCGCAAAGAGGAGAGCAGGGGGCGTCGGCTGGAGGAGAGCAGGGGGGGGCGGAGGGCAGAAGAGGGCGGGGCCAGCGGCGGCGGTTCCCCGGACGACGCCACGCTGCTGACCGGGAACCAGCACGTCTTCATTGACCTGCTGCAGGAGGTGGCCCAGAACAGCGGGCGCTGGACACGAGAGCGCTGGAGGCAAACGCACGCCAACAAGCTGCAGATCAGACAGCAGCAGCAGAGGTAGGAGCAGGAGGAGGAGCAGGAGGAGAGGAGGAGAATCTCCCGGGTTCCACCTCACAACGACCCCGCCCGGAGTCATCACACCATCACAAGAGTCACGTTTAAAACAGAGAAGTTCTGACCCTCTGAAATCTCCTCATTCAGAACGGATCCTTTTGTTTTTAATGGTAACTTAATTTCTTGTCCATTGGGCTCGCCACCCATGGGGGGGGGGGGGCAGAGGGGGCCCAGAGGAAGACCCAGGACCTGGGAAGATGCCCAGGTCCAGGGGAAGGCAGAAGTTGTGGGTTGGGGTGGGATGATAATTTTCTTTTTTTTTTCTTCCAAACTCTGAAACAAAGTGAACATGTCTCGTTCAGCAGATGTGAAAAAACTGATTTCCTCCCTTTGGAATAATAAAGACAGCAGACTGGTCTCGTTCACGTGGCTGCATGCAGCTTTTATTTGTTCAGGTCTGTATGGCAGAAGAACACTTCTCATAAGAAATCGTACAAAATGGACCAGTCCCTTTTTGACAATGACTAAAAAAAAAAAACTAAGTGGAGGTAAACCTAGCACGCGGGCTTTGAGTAACACCGAGACGACATGCGTTCCTGTAAATACACCCAATCAAATAATGGCTCCATGGTGGGTTCCCCCCCCCCCCTCTAGCAGGACGGCACGTGCGTTTGGCTAAATGTAACGAAAAGTTCAGTTACTGACGAGCCTTTATATTAGAACATGCTTTTAAACAGAAATAAAAACAGAGATAGCATGCCCTTCGTGGCTTTTCTAACGATGGACTCGGGGGGACGTGAGGACCCTGGAAGCTGGCGCACGCGCGCGCGTGATCGCGTCCTCCGTCACGGTCGCTCGTGCTCTCGCTCCTCGTCTCGTGCCCTGTAAACTCTGAGTTTGGCACCACACAAAAACTCAAAGCGGAATTCTCTGACGCGGTAAACGCGCACGGACCCCGGACACGCGCCGGCTCGTGCACGCTCTCGCGCTCCCTTGGCCGTTACACGCTCTCCTCCGGGCTGTGCGGACTCTGGTTAAAGGGTCGCGCGCGGATGCTCCAGCAAAACCGCGCGCGGAGCTTTAGTGCAAAAGTAGTTCAGGCCCGCGTCACGTGACGCGGAAGAAACCTGCCAACGGCGGTGACGCGCGTCTAAAGTTCGTATTTACAGCCAAACGTGTGGTTAGGAGTTCAGATTAGATACTGACACTGCAGAACGATTATTTAAAACAAACAAACAAATAATAGCCAAAAAACAAAACACGTGAGTGTTAAATAAAGGGAGGACAGTGATAGACCGGCTCTGCCTGCAGTATCTCAGCTAAACTCCTGTTCCCAGCCACTAATCAGCCGGGAAACGTGGGGGAAAATTACAACAAACAAATGTCTAACATCTAATTAAATTGCTTTTGCACACACACTGACCATGACAAAGATTTGTAGTTGGGACGATTCATGGTCTCCAGAGTGTGTGTTCCTCAGGGTTTGCTGTTTGGACGGACACAGAGATGGATGTAACCACGGGAACCAGGCCAAATGAACTGTTCATTAAAGTGCAATTCCAGTGACCGCCTCCATGATCTGACGGACTCTTCAAAAAGTGGTACCTCACGGTCAGTGTGCTTCGACAAATCATGATGATATGGAACTGATGTTGAGCCTCATACATACAAAAAAGACCCAATTAGTGATTTAAAAAACAACAAAAACAAACAGTCTTTTGTCGTTCCATAAAACAAAAATCAGTGGGTAACATCCCAGTAGTTCCATCAACACTCAAAAGAAACAGGAAGCAGAGCAAAGCAAACATCTGGACGGACAGCCCTGGACACCGGCCCACAATTAAAGCTTTTTGTCTGTACAAAAACTCCAAACCGGTTCAAGAAGTGATTAGGTGTTCATTGGAGCTGTGACTTTTCTAGAGGAGAGAAACACTGGCAGGGAACCGGTCCAGAATCTGGGTCCAGACAATCCTTTAAATACTCGAGGTCAAGATTAAGACCTGCTCTAAATGTAAACAATCAATCAATGTCTTTAGCTGATTTCAACACCATGGACCGCTTCATTTAACAGATATGGATGAATGCAGAATGCATGGTATTTTTTCGGGTTTAACTTATACTAACTTTTTTTTTTTTAAGAAAAAAAGGAAAATGCTAAACATTCCAAATCATGGTCAAAGGTATTTACAGAGCTTAAACAAGGCGGCCACCGCGCACAACCCAAGTAAATAAATAAAAAATAATTAAATCCCGCCGGATGGTCCTGAAGAACAAAAGGAGGTGAGGTAATAAACGAGAAGTGCCCCGTGTGTCCCTGGAAATACTGGACAATGTAGAAATCCAAGCCTTTCTCTACAAAAAAGCGGCTCACTGTGAAATGTGCAGAATGTGGGGCGGGGGGGGGGTCTGCCCGGAACTTTGTGTCGTTTTTATTTTTTTTTATTGTGGGTGAGAGGAGGCGGACGTGAAGTCGGCCTGAGTCGTGGCACGAGGGGCAGCGCCCCCTCAGGGTGTGTGTGTGTGTGTGTGTGTGTGTGTGTGCACATAAACCTCCTTCAATCATTCAAAATACACCTCAGGACCCTGGTCTGATCTCTGATACTGGGAAGGGAGGAGGAATAAGAGGTTTCAGGCTCTCTGTGTTTTTTTTGGGAATGTTGGGAGTCTGAGGTCAAAGGTGAGGCGGTCTTCATGCATCCTTCTGTAGCAGCTCAGTGGGACCCCCCCTCTCTCTCTCCTGTGGTGCTTGGGCGTGGCTCCGGGAGGTCAGGGGTCGCGGGTCTCAGAGGTGAGTCTCGTCCCTCGTCGGGACGCCGAAGTCCTGCTGGTTCCGGGCGCCGCGGGCCGGAGCGGCCTGGGGGTCCTCCGGGACGTGGGCCAGCGGGTCGGAGCGGATGATGTACCTGTAGGGACACAGTCTGTCAGCCCCTCCGCCCGGGGCCTCCGACCCCCCCCCAGCTGAGGTGTGAGTTTGGGTTTTTTGTGACAGCTGAAACGGTCTTCTATCAGGATCCACGACAAAACCACTTTCCAGGTCTTTTTGGTCTAAAAGGCGTTTTTGTAAAACTTGATTTCCAGCTGAATTCTGTCTCATAAAGAAGTCAAACAGCTAAAAAACCTTTGGAGGTTTTGCTGGAAAACTCCTGTCTACAAACCCTGGATTTTCACAAAATACTTTTTTTCTCCCGATAAGTGTCCGGCAAGTTTTCTTTTGAGAGGTGGATTCACTCACGATAAATACTGAAATAAAGTAGGAATAAAGCTCTATTGCTAAGACCAACACGGGAGAAAGATCGCCTTGAAAACAACATTTCCGCCGATTGTATCAGCCAATTATCCACCATATTTTTGTCTTTCAGTCCATCAATATCTGCCATTTGAATCCACAACTTAGGAACTAAAAAAAATGCCAATTTGACCAAATTACATTTTCACTTTGATCCCGACGCAGCTTCCAGCACTTGTTTGAGTTTCTGACTTTTCCGGGTTCAACACCTGGAAGGTTAGAACACATCAAACCAAAGTCTGATGTGTGTGTGTGTGTGTGTGTGTGTGTGTGTGTGTGCGTGTGTGTGTGCGTGTGTGCGTGTGTGTGTGTGTGTGTGTGTGTGAGGCCCTTACACTATGTCGTTGAGCTCCAGCATGGTGTCGGGGGGAGGGTTGATGAGGACGTAGGACAGCGTGTTCTGGTGGTCGTTCATCTCGTCTGTGGGGGGGCAGAGCAGACCTTTAGCGCCGCCCCGGGGAGCCTCTTCCGTCCTCCACCGTTAAAGCAGCACATCAGTGAGTAAACGGAGCCGCTCAGGCTTAAAGACGCCAGAAACTCCTGGTTATCAACGGCTCGGTGGGGACAGAGAGAGAGTGAGAACATCCCGGTACGACAGACTATTAACCCTTTGGCTGCCAAAGACGTCTATAGAAGTCTTTTATGTTTTTCAACGAGAGTGGCTTGGGGGACGATCTGCTAAAGCTTGTCCGTAAATATCAGGCTTCTAGACAGAGTATGTAGTAACAAATTGACCCTCTAGGGGAGCATAGACTGTAGGCAAATGAGAAAAACGTAACGGTTCGCTATGAGAGAACATGTCGCCGGTGAGACGCAAGTCGAGGAAGAACAGAATAAGGTAGAAACAATTATTTTTTCCTGATGAAAGAAGAGTCTACTCTTTCTTTGTTTGTGTTCGGTGTTTACATAGTCATAGCACAAACTATTCTGTGGCTCTTGAAAAATCTGTCAAAATTATCAAAAAACTCTGGCAGTATGGGACTCTTTTCTGAAAATGGCTGCCAGTCAATGAGTTAATAAGGAATCTTTTTGTAATGACTTTTTTTCCGTGGATCTCACTGAGATTCATACGGGTCAGGACGAGACTCTGAGCCCATTTCGGGGTTCTGTCCTACTGTTTGGTTTGTTGAAGGGAAACTAGCATCGGTTTGTAATCTACCCCACGATTCGCCGCATTTCCACTCAGGTCCTGAAAGGTCTGAAACAGAGACCTGCTACTCAACAACCCTCACGCCTGTCCACCTGTTTACCGAGGACAAAGGTCTACAGACATATATCCATACTCTATATATGTCTGTGGTCATCACATGACAGGAAGTGCTGGGACAGTGTGTGGGGAGAAGTCCAAAGCCCCGATTGGCTGATGTTCAGCTTCAGGCCCTTCAGCACAGTGGTGCTGGTATTGTTTTTTTTGGGGGGTTGTTTTTTATTACGGTAACAATCTGGATCAATTTGACTCATTATAACAAAGAGCCCTTAAGAAACCACGAAATACTCAGTTTATCAAATAAAAACATGACCGGGTTTATCCCAGGTTTTTAAATCCGGCTCTTCTTCTTTACTTCTGCTTTTTAAATTCCAGGGTGAAGAAAACAAAACTTATTTGTCTGTCATTTTACTCCGTCAGTTCCCTTGGTGGCCTTTGGGTGTGAAGGCCTTTTCCTGCTTTCTGAGATGTTGTAACGAACATATTCTGCCTCTCCCATAATATACTCAAGCCCGATCATATTTCAGTTCGTTAGCAGCCGATAACAGGACGCCGACTTTAGGGTCATTTCCCAGAAGCATCGGCTCTGTGTATGAGTGTGTATGTGTGTGTGTGTGTGTGCATCAGTATATGTGTCGGCTGCTCTCTGGCGGGGGCTCCTATTGGCTCTGTGGTGCACGAGGAGGGGGAGGACGGGGAGGGGGGGGTGCGTGTGTCTCCATGACGACCCACCTGCTCGTGGCCCTTTACAAAGCCGGGCGGGGTGGAAGAGAGAGAAGTTCTGACCGTTACTGACAGGGCACTGCGTGGGTCGAGGGGAGGCCCGCATGCTGCCCGCCGGCTCACACAGCCACCCCCCCCCCCCCCCCCCCCCCCCCCCCAACCATGCGCAGCCTCAGAGAAAGACCCCCCCCACCAGCACCATCACCATGCAGACAGCGTCCGCGGCCACGCCACAAAAAACAAAACAAACGCCCCTCCACCACATTCCACACTGGACCAGCAGGCTGGTGAAGGCTGCAAGTTGCCATGCCAACGGACGACACTCAGCGCCCCCCCCCACCCATAAAGTGACATGTGACACAGACACACGGGGCATGCGCCAGCATCCGGCACACCGGACCCCACAGAGCCGCTGCGGCCACACTGAGAGTGAAGCAGAACACATCGGGAGTGTGAGAGTGGAAGAGGCCTCCAGCTCCTTCAGCTCCGGTGACCCCCCCCCCCCCACCC